TGAAGTGCCCATTACGGACGTCGGAGCCGTGCAAACATTGCGACAGACCAGCTCCACATCATCGGGCCTTCTGCAAAAAAGCACCAAGCAGGACCTGGAACGCTCCACGTCACGATCCAGTGCGCAACGAAGACCCACGAGCAACAACTGCTCCTGGTGGGCCGCCAGGCGGTGGCCAAAGCGTTGAGCGGCAAGCTCCGGTTAAGAAAGCCGTCAGCTGGAGCGACTCCAAGGCTGAGTCAACCGCACGATTCGTGCCCCCGAGTGCACTGCATCAAGGCATGCGAGGCTCCCCAGGGAGGGAGACCAACTCGAAGAGAATCCACCGGAAGAACAAGTCGAGGAGCCCGGGAACCGGCCCTCAAGGACGCAAGAGCACTTCACGTCCGACGACTGCTTCGACCGTTGAGGACATAGAGGCGAAGGGCGTCAACGCCTGTGACGATGACCGGCTCCTCTCCGGCCACCAGTCTCCTTCGTCGACGGCAAGATGTCCGACCTACGATTTGCCGCAGCGCGACCGGCTAGGAGTCGGTACCGATGAGTCCCCACCACAGGACGAGGATCCCTGGGCGGATATGCTGCCGGAAGAGGCCGAATCGATTCCCGAGTCCATCGGACACTGCAGCAATGCGCCGTACGGGCCTTCTGATGCATACTCCGACGACTATGAGTGGTTCCCACCACCGGAAGAAGAACATCCTTCCACGTACGCTGTGAGTGCGTCGCTTCCTGCCGACACACGCACAGTGTTACTCGAGTGCGTCAAGGTGACCGCCGAGAATCCAACCACCGGAGCCTCGCGCGACGTTACCGTCTTCTTCGACAGCGGAAGTTCGCTGACTTTCGTCTCCACGACGCTGGCTGACGATCTGGGTCTGCCACAACAAGGAAGTCGACACCTCCGTGTCAACGTCTTCGGCTCCACGAAGCCCACGCTCATGGACGGCTTCGCTACCAAGCTCATCCTTCGTTCGCAGCATGGCCACTCCGTGCCGCTTCATGCGACAGCAGCACCAGATTGTATCGTCAAAGCAGTTACCACAGCGCTGGTTGAGGACCACGAACTCCCACCACTCCTGGATAACGAGGTCTCCCTGATCTCGTCTCGTGAGACGCCCGACATCCTCATTGGACAAGACACCGTCCAACTCTTCAGACGCCAAACCAAGGGACGGCTCCCGAACGGCTTCGACCTGATCAAGACCATCTTGGGACCGATGATCGGAGGAGCCGGAAAGGTCGCCAACCCCACTTCGGCATTCGACACCACCACTATCGCATTCGTCGACGTGTCCCTCTCTGACGGGACGGACTTTGACGGACTGTCCGATGGCTCTGCTACCTCACCCATCGCCATCTTTCCACCACCACCATCGAATTCGAAGTTCAGCAAAACGGCTCTCCTTCCACCTGAGAGCAGAGAACCGGCGCACCCTGTCCTCCTGACAGAGTCGCGCCTCCAACCACCAAACAAGACGCGGACCGCATGCTCTGCCCTCCTGGCGGAACCATGCGACGCCCCGCTAGAGGAAACCATGGTATCCGGCTACTTCAGCGGACTGGTCGACAAATCCGACGCCGAAATTTTCGGTGACTTCTCCTACCTTGAGAACGCCGGCATCGGTACCAGCGAGATGACGCCCGACGACAAAGCGGCTGCAGATATGCTCGAGAGACTCATCGCACGCGAGCCAGACGGACGCTACAAGGTCCCTCTCCTGTTCCGCACCGCCGACGGCGAACCCCCGTCCAACAACGACCTGCCGACCAACATGCACCTCGGCAAAGGACGTGGCATCTCGACCCGCAACTCGCTAGCCAAAGTACCGAAGAACCTCGCCGAGTACGATGGCATTATCCGCGACTACCTGGCTCGCGGCTTCATCAGTACGGCACCGCTCCAAACGAAGCAGACAAAGCACTGCCTGTCGCATCACCCTGTGCACAAAGAGACCTCGACCACTACCGCTACGCGGCCGGTCTACGACGCCAGCGCCAAGCTACCCGGGCATGCCAGCCTCAATGACTGGCTCTACCGCGGCCCGGTATTTCTTCCAACCATACCAGGCGTCTTGCTGCGCAGCCGTCTCCCTAAGATCATCATCGTGAGCGACATTGGCAAGGCGTTCCTCCAAGTGGCGGTCAAGGAATCTCACCGCGACTGCCTCTGGTTCGTCTGGTTCAAGGACCCGACCCAGGAACCCACCGACGACAACATCATCTTCTACCGCTTCGATCGCGTGCCGTTCGGCCTGAAGTCGTCACCGTACCTTCTGGCAGGTGTTATCAAGAAGCACCTCGAGAGCGAAGGCACTCCACTCGCCCTGGAGATGCTCAGAAACTGTTACGTGGACAACGTCCTCCTCATGGCCGACACCGTTGAGGAAGCTCTCCAGAAGTACCACGAGTCCAAAGCCATCTTCGCCAAAGCGCAGATGCCTCTTCGCGAGTACGCCTCGAACGACGCGAAGTTCAACGACGCCCTCGATCCTGCAGACCGAGCTGACCTCCACAAGCTCCGCGAGCTCGGGATCCGATGGGACGTCACTGCCGATTATTGGGACATTCCACTCCGGCCTAAACCGCAGAAAGATCCTGTCCTCCTGACAGGATCGACTGTTGCTAGCTCGGCTCAATCCGTACCCCGGACGGATTCGAAACTGGCAGCGGCTACTACGACACCGTCCAAGGGACCTGTCCTCCTGACAGAGACCCAAGGACCTGTGCTCTCCAAGAAACCCAAGCGGAAACGCCGCAAGCCAGTCGACGACGGCCGTCTCACCAAGCGTTCGATGCTCCGCTTCGTCGCCCAGATATTCGACCCACTAGGGCTCGTTCAAGCTGCCCTCCTACTGGCCAAACTCGTCATCCAGGAACTCTGGAAGGCCGAGAAAGACTGGGACGACGACATCAGCGAGACGCACGCGCTTCTGTGGAAAGAAGCCATCAGAGACCTCGCCACCACCTCTATTCGGATTCCACGCCGATTAAGTA